TTTGGCACATGGTCACCTGCTGCTTGGCCATGTGCCTGGGGCAGGGGCTAACCTAGCTCTTTTCCTAGGAAGTGAAGGGATCTCCAATTAATAGTTTTTCCTGGGAAGTGAATGGATTGCAAGTTAATTCCCATCTCCCATGGTGCATGGCACAGGTCTCTGCTTTGTGCCTCGTCCTTCTCTGAGCATCTGAGTGTAGACTGTGAGCCTGGCCTGTGTCACTATGGGGCGTCTGTTCTTTCGGGATGGCACAGGGCTCAGGGACACCTGAGCCTTCCCAGGGGTTCTGTGTGGAAAGAGGTGACCGTTGAGGCCACAGAGCTGTGACACCGCCTGACTTGTGGGCCCCATATGTCCACCGGGATTTGTGTTTGTGACAGGAAACGACCAGCTCCATTCCTAACCCTGCTCCAGCTCTGCTCCTTGCAGATGGTATCTCCTTCAAGTTGGTAATTTATTCTTCTAAAGATGTCCTGGAAGCGAAGTTGGCTGCTTATTGCAAAGCCTGCTTCTGACTTCCAACTCAGATTACCTTAAATTAATGTTGACGCATGCAAGATTTATTAGCCAAGCAGCCATCTCTTCAGCGCCTGGCGGGACTCAGAACATGTGCGTAAATCACCCGCTTGACAACTTCCTGGACTGAACCTTGGGTGTTTACCTTCACAAATCAATGCACCCATTCGCAGATGGCAGATTTGGGACACGGAGGATGGTTCGAGGTGACATTTAGGAAGGGAACAACTGCGAGACATGGCCAAGGCCACAAGCCAGGAGCTCTTTCTACATCTTCTTGGATTTTCCCCCCCCAAAAGTTCACCAGCAACTGCTGACCTGGGAGTAGGACAACACTTCCTGGACTTCACACCCAGTGGCCTGTGGCTGGGCTGCAGCCAGCTGCTTGTCAGAGCTGCCTCCGTGGGACCTTGCCGTTACTGGATGAGGAACTCTTGGGATCTGCTCCTTACACCTGAAAGGGGCTCTTTTTTGACCACTGAATGCATGCAGATCACAAAATCATTTCTCGGCCCACTTTAGGAAGGAAGTTGTCCAAGACACAGCATTGTTTAATATTTAAGCTGGAATTCTTGTTCCCATGGTAAACCTGGGAGACTCTGTGAATGGCATGACTATGTTCAGAGTCCAGAAGTCAGCTCATGACACATGTGACATGTGTCATCAGGTGCAATGTGCTGAGCCTAGGTGGCCTGGTGGCCTTGGCGGAATGCTGTGTGGATCCTGGGGAGAAGGTACCACCCGTGCAGGCCACCCCTAGCTGCCTTTCTTCACATGAAGTCTAATTCCCCTGGCCCCTCTAGGCCAGGGCTGCTTACTGAATTGCCTGTTTCTTTGTGTACTTTCCTAGTAGTCTCCCTCTGTTTTTCACATTGAAAGCAACGGGCCAAGTTGGAGAGAGTGACAGACTTGGGCAAAGGCCAAGGCTGTCCGCAGCAATCTGCTGGCTAACATGGCTCATGGAGATTTGCTGCTGCTTTTGTGTTCATAAGCAACCCACAAAATAAGAAGGCAGAGAGGGGCAGAGAGGAAAGAAGGAGAGGGCGAGGGGAGGGACAGATGGGATGGGGGAGACAGACACTGAGACAGAGGTAGTGAGAGAGAGAGTGTGTTCCTGTTCAGTCCCATCCCATTTCCCAGCTGCCTCTCTGAGCAAAGTTGAACTCAGGACGTGGCTGGCTTGTCCAGCCTCCACTTTCCACTGTGGCACTTGGCAAGGGTAGCTGGGACCACTACAGATGGCACCAGGGGAGGGAAGCAAGTGCTGGCCTTATTTCTCCTGGCCTTGTGCTAAGGCCTGCATAGGGAATGCCCACACTGCTTGCCAAGTCAAGCATTTCCATAGCCTGAGTCAGACAGACAGAACCTCACTCTGAGTACAACACAGGCAAATAAGGGAACCGAATGCCAGTCACAGAAGGCCATGAAATGATCATCGCCACGAGTCATCAAATGGACCTGGGACAATTCCCGGCACCGCTGCCTACTGGTCGTGTTTTGTAGGGGATCGCGAAGACTTCCGGAGTTGGTTACTGATCTCCTCACTCTGTCTTTAAGCCAGGCTCTGAAGAGTATTGGTGCGAGGTTTGGAAAGTCTGTGCTGATCATGGGAGTTTCATTAAAATACCCCAAGCCTCCCAGAAACTTGTGGTTTGAAGTAAAAGAGAATGGGGCATTCAAAAGTTTAATTCATCCCTGAGAAGAAAGACGAGATCGCCTCTGGAGTGTTGTATTTTGTGTCTGCCACTTCTGCAGACTTACAGTTGGCTCATATTTTTTTAAGATCTATTTATTTTTATTGGAAAGGCAGATCAGATTTATGGAGAGAAGGAGAGACAGAGACACAAATACCTTCCATCTGCTGGTTCACTCCCCAAATGCTGCAATGGCCAGAGCTGAGCCAATCTGAAGCCAGGAGCCAAGGAGCTTCCTCCAGGTCTCCCATGTGGATGCAGGGTCCCAAGGCCTTGGGCTGCCCTCAACTGCTTCTTCAACAGGCCAGTGGCTTCTCCAGTATAGGACGGATGGGTTTTATGCTGCAGTGTGCCTGGTTTTCTGGTCAGAGGCATTCTCTGAATGCCTTCCCCTATCGCAGATTCATCGAGAAACGTGAAAGTGGCACAACATGCCCACAAAGAACGTCTTCAAAAACTTCATGGAGAAGGCATATTCGGAAAAAAGCCAGCAACATGTGGATTTCAAAATCTCTCGCACCAAAATAAATGCCTTTTTGGAAGTGGTGTTGTGTTTCTAACAGTGAGGAGTCAGAGATATTACCGGTATACGACACACACGCATCACTCCCACACTTCAAATGTCATCCGAGCAACGGCAACATCAGGGCGTCCTCCCCTTTGCACTCCTGGAAGAAGGCTGGGCTGGACTGAGGCCTGCTGTGCATTCTCTGCATCTGAATGCAAGTTATAAAACTGCAGATTTGGGCCCGGCGCGGTGGCGCAAGTGGTTAAAGGTCCTTGCTTTGCACGCCCGGGATCCCATATGGGCGCCGGTTCTAATCCCGGCAGCCCCGCTTCCCTTCCAGCTCCCTGCCTGTGGCCTGGGAAAGCAGTCGAGGACGGCCCAAAGCTTTGGGAACCTGCACCCACGTGGGAGACCCGGAAGAGGCTCCTGGCTTCGGATCGGCCCGTTGCGCTCACTTGGGGAGTGAATCATCGGACGGAAGATCTTCCTCTCTGTCTCTCCTCTCTGTATATCCGCCTTTCCAATGAAAAAATAATAAAAATAAATCTTTACAAAAAAAACTGCAGATTCCTCTCCCTCCCTTCTGACTCATAGAATTACAGTCTCAGGAGTTGGGGCCTGAAGCAGTGTGCAAACAGCACACAGCAGTGAATAATGGTGTCACAGCAATTTTTCATGTTCAACTGGCTGTGTTTTTTTTTTTTATCTCTAAGTGTTTCTGATCTTGTTTTTCTCATTTGCAAAGGGAGAGGTTTGACGTAATGATCTGTAAGCAGTGTGTGTGCATGCATGTGTGTGTATGTGTGTATGTATGTGTGTGTGTTTAATAATTCATGCAACTTGGGGCCTGGCCAGTGAGTTAAGCTGTCACCTCTTACACCTGCCCACCGCCCACATCTCAGTGCTGATTCAGATCCTAAGTACTAACTATCCAGCTCTCTGCCGATGCGTCTGGGAAAGCAGAAGAGGATGACCTAGGTGCTTGGGCTCCTGCCGCTCACATGGGAGACCCAAACAGACTTCCTGGCTCCCAGCTTCAGTCTGGCCCAGACCTGGACGTTGTGGCCTTTGTGGGAGTGAGCCAGTAGATGGTACCTCTGTCTCTCCTGCTTAAATAAATAAATCTTAAGAAAAAAATAGATTTCTGCCACTCATGTCACCTAGTTCTGCTGACATAGACACAAATGTGTGTGGGGCCTCTTCAGTCCATATCTTCTTGCTGAACGATGGCAAACTTGCCTCGTAGGAGTTTCAACACAAAAGGAAACAAGGAATAGGAACAGTAAAACAGAAGCAATAAGTAAGAATGCCTTCGATGCTGATTTTAACTACTCTGGTTTTCTGCTGTTGAAGAATATTCTTCTTTCTTCTGTTAAACAGTAATTAAGTACATCTCCCTTAGGGCATTAATTCATTTTTAACTAACTAATTCAACATGATATCTTGCACATTGTGGGACCCACTGGAAGTCCAGTTGTGACAGTAGACAAACTCAGTGACTTTGTGCAGCTTTTTCTTTTACTGAAATCACAGTATTTTACCCAAAGTAGTCTGGTCTATGCACCTACTTATCAAAGGATTATACAGAAAATATTTTTAAACATAAGTACTAAAAGAAAGAGTAGAGGATTCTTAGAGTCGTGTCTAATTGTTGAACCTCTAACCTAGATTTTCGAAAGGCAAATCCTTGCAGTCCACCCCCTTTGATCTCCAGGAACAAACAAATAGAATCCATAGCTGGGCCATCTGTCAGTTACAATAATTCACCTGGGAGCAAGTGTGATGGGGCCATCTTCTCATTTGTTTCAGAAGCATTAACAATGGAGATGCTTACATTGATATTATAATACCTAGTGTATCTTAGATAATAAATGGATTGTTGGTTCAATTTTATCAAAACTTTCAGAGGAAAACAGGTGAAGCATCATCCCTTGAAAATAACATTTCAGGAGAATCAAGATGGCGGAATAGGAAAAGGACATGTTTAAACAGATGGAGAAACATTAGCCAATGTGAAGCAGAGAGGGCACATTCTATGAAATAGAACACGACAGAACAACAGCAGAGGGGGTACCTGGAGATTGACAGACACAAAAAAAGCAGCAGACACATGGTGTGGTGTTGCAGTGACTGATACTCCAGCAGCATTCAGCGAGTGGTGATCTGAGCTGACCAGCAGTGCAGCAACCAGCAACCAGGTGGGAAGGGACGTTACCTAGGAACTCAGGAGGTGATCCCAGACAAAGAACTGTTCATCCTGCTGGTCTGTTTGATTTGACCAGGAGCAGAGACAGAGCGGCAGGTCCAAGCTGGCAGTGCAGGAACAGGGTGGATTTCACAACCCAGTCTACCCTCTAGAGCTGCATTAGGCACCATTTTGTTTAAGGAAGCAAAGTGTATGGCACAGGACTGCACATGCACTGAACTGGGAGTGAACTCATTTCTGGCTCAGTGAACTGCAACAGCGTGGCATTCTACAGGTTCCACCTCAGACCAGACAGCTACCAGATCAAGAACTCTAGTAGTGGCACATCAGGTATCATTTTGTGTGATGTGGCAAAGGCTTTAATACTGCAGAGACAACAGTGAGCCATGCATGTGCTGAACTGGGAGCAAACTCACTGAACTCAGTGCATTGCACTGGTCCCACAGGAAAATAATACTGACTATGGCTTCATACAGGTCAAAATAGGTCCGTGTCGCCCTCAGACCTAACGAACAACAGGTTCCAGCAAGATCAGCACCACCAACAACCTGGCTAAATAGGACTCCTGATTTCTCCCTAATCCTGGGACCTGCTCCAGCCAGAAGTGGGAGAAAGGTTGTACAGATAATGAATGGTGCAGCCTCAGCACAGGGTCACAGGAGGTGTAGAGTGAGCCAGGAACTGGGGTTACAAAGACGATGATAGAAATCTAACATAAGAAACCAGACCTGGAACTCGCTGGAGGGAGTGACACAAGTGACTGCACACAAAGAGCCATGTGCCAACTGCAATAAATAAAATCTAACTGTAGACCTGTGGGTGACACAGCATAGAAACCTGCCCTGAGGAGAAGACTCTGCTTATGAACAACAGCAAAAGAGGGGGCAGAAGCAAAATGAATATTAATGAAGACTCCCCTGTAAAGCAGCAAAAACCTTTGCCAACCTCAGAGTTCACTGAGGAAGACAGTGAGAAAATGGGGGATACAGAATTTAAAACACTTGTTATAAAACTTCTTATCAACAACAAGAAGCATGTAAAGCAGGCATTCAAGGAATTCAAGGAATATGTCACACTGGAAATGAATCAAATCAAAACTGATATATCAGAAATAAAGAATACAATGGGACAAATGAAAAGTACAGTGAAAAGTCTCCAAAACAGAATGAGGGTGGCAGAAAAAAGAATCTCAGAATTGGGAGATATTTCCTGTCAACAGGTGGAAATAAACAAAAAACTGGAAGCAGAGCTGGATGAGGCCAAAAAAAGTATTCAAGAATTGAAGACACTATTAAAAAGGCCAAGTATAAGAGTTATGGGAGTCCCAGAAAGTGCAGAAAGAGAAGCTGGGATTAAAGGTACATTCAATGAAATAAGGGAAAATTTCCCTAATCTAGGGTAAGAATTGGGAAACAACACCCCTGAGGGGCACAGAACTCCCAACAGGGTTGAACCAAGGCGATCTTTACCACAACAAATGATAAGTAAGCTCTCTGCAATCCAACATAAGGAAAAGATCCCTAAATATGCATGTGAAAAAAAATCAATTGACATATAAAGGAATGCCAATTAAATTCAAGGATACCTCTTACAGGAAACTCTACAGGCCAGAAGAGAATGGAGCAACATATTCCAGATTCTAAAAGCAAAAAGTTGTTGGCCCAGGATGACGTACCCAGCAAAGCTTTCTTTTCTCTTAGAAAATGAGATAAAATTCTCCCACAGTAGAGAAAAGTTAAAAGAATATGCCTCTTCCAAACCTGCCCTACAAATGATACTTAGATGTTCTCTTGACAGAGAAGAGGAATAGCACCTACCAAAAACAAAGACAAATGTGAAGAACATCCCAATAAAATAACATCAAAACACTAAATCAATGAACAACTCATTGCTAAAATGACAGGACCAAATTACCACCCATTCATATTAACCCTGAATGTAGATGGCTTAAACTAGTCAATCAAACATCACAGATTTTAGACTGGATTAAAAAAACAAAACCCATCTGTTGATGCCTATAGGAGACATATCTCACCAACAAAGATCAGCAGAAACTATATCTCATGGATTTTGATTTTTTTTAGCTTCATCTCTTCAAAACACTTTCTTATTAAATTCTTCACTGTCTCACAGATCATTTTCTTCAATATCATTTTCTTCAAGAAGGTTCTTGATTTTCTTTTTAATTTCTTCAGTGACACATTAGTAGCATGTTATTTAACTTCATGGCATTGTTCATTTCTTTTTTCTTCCTGTTACTGTTTTTGTTTTGTGGCTTTTCATTTAAGGGGATGTACAGTAAATGTGAAATGGAGACTATTGTATCCAGATGTGAGGATACAATGCAGCATGCATCTCTATTTCCAGATCAAAGATGGACTCCCAATGAAATGTTTTATTATATATTAAAAATAGGATGTTGGACTCTGCCATTGTCTGTGTCTGCAATGATGGACATATGACTGTTTATGAAGAATTATTCTATAGTAATAATATAGGGGAACTCAGTGAAGGGGGAGTGGATTGGGGAGTGGATAAGGGAAATCCCAGGGCCTATGGAACTGTATCATAAAATTATAATAACAAGAAGAAGAAGTAAAATAAAAAGAGATGTTGTTAGCTAAGTAGCAGAATGTTGGACTTGTGACTTGCTGAAGGACCATAGTAGTGTAGTAATATGGGGAACACAGTGTTTGCGGGGTACAGGTTGGGAAGAAGGGAAGGTGGGGGGGAATCCCATACCTATTAAAGCATATCATGGATAATAATAATAATAATGTTGTATTTGAAAAAAATAACATTTCAAGGGCCAGCATAATAGTCTAGCAGATAAAGCTGCCAACCTGTGATGTCAGCATCCCATAGAGCAGCCAGTCCATGCTAGTGGTTTCACTTCTGGTCCAACTCCCTGCTAATGTGCCCGGGAAAGCAGTGAAAAGTGGCCCAGGTGTTGGGGTTCCCACATCCATGTGGGAGACATGGAGGAAACTGCAGACTTTGGTCTAGCGCTATCCCAGCTGTTGCAGCCACTGAGCAAGTGAACCGGCAGATGGAAGATCTCTCTCTCTCTCTCTTCCTCTGTCTATAACTCAGAGTTTCAAAGAAGTGAATAGGTACTTTAAAAAAAGAGTATTTCAAAGCCAATTTTCTTGTAATTGTAGTGGAATATTTTGAAGGACAAAATTCATGGGAAGGACCAAAAATTCCCTGTGTTCTATCTCTAACACCAAAGTGTCTTAAACTAAGAGATTAACCAGATTTTTAACCAGATTTATGAATTGCAGTTGTATCTTGGATTTAAGGCGTGGGAGAAGATATATGGATTTATTTTCATGATTAATTAATTAATTAATTTTTTTAAAGATGTATTTCATTCCCATTGGAAAGGCGGATATACAGAGAGGAGAGACAGAGAGGAGGATCTTCCGTCTGATGATTCACTCCCCAAGTGAGCCGCAACGCCGATGCTGTGCTGATCAAAGCCAGGAGCCTCCTCTGGGTCTCCCACACGGGCACAGGGTCCCAAAGCTTTGGGCCGTCCTCAACTGCTTTCCCGGGCCACAGGCAGGGAGCTGGATGGGAAGCCGGGCTGCCGGGATTAGATCCAGCGCCCATATGGGATCCCGGGCATTCAAGGCGAGGACCCCCAACCACTGCGCCATCATGCCGAGCCCTTCATGATTAATTTATGTTCCAGATAAAGCTCACACAAGGTTGCCTCACTAAACTCTTGTTCATTTCCCAGGATTTGAATGAATTTGTAACTACAGTTTGCAGATGGATCTCCGTAAGAGGAAGGTGAACATTTTAGCCTCAGAGGAGAGCTCCAGGGAATGAGCCTCTGTTTGGTGAGAGGAGACTGGGAGCTAGCCTAGAGGAAAGAGGTTCCCCTCCCTGAGCTCAGAGGAAGGTGGTCTCCACCCTGCTTGCGCTAGCCATCATCTTCTTGGTACTCCAGGCACATTAGTTCCTCCATCACACAGATTATTAAGTCAGAACAATGCCCCAACAGCTGGTTTTAACTTCACTGTTTGCTTAGAGTGATACCCAGAGAATGTGCGATGCAAGTTGGGCGTTGAGCTCAGCCACACGCGTGACGTCAGGACAAGGGCAGCTGGAGCCTCTTCTCACAGAGGGCGGGCAACAGTGTGAACCTAGCACTACTTCATGAGATGAGCTGTTGTCAGTGAGCGTGACACAGCACTGCTAACACAGACCACCTGGTGGAGCGCCTCATGCCTCATCACAGCACACGGCACTTCCTGCTTCCGGTCTCATCTCAGAGCTTCCGGGAAACTCCGAGAAGCCGAAGCTCTGACTCATCTTTCATGGTATGTTCTTAGTATGTGAGAAATGGTAAAATCCATGTAATTAAGGAAGCTTGGAACAAAAAGGCTAAAGACAGCTGTAAAAAATAGAGAAAATGGGGGCAGGTGGGCAGCGGGTGGCATAGCAGGTTAGGAAACCACTGTGTATGTTTTTGGAATGATTAGAAAGCAAAGCTGCATGGTGTACACAAAGGAAATACACGTTGATGTTGGCAACGCCCGCATCGCCACGTACCCCGAGTCGAGCGGAGGGACTAGGGTTATGAGACAGACAAGACAGACAACACACACTTTATTCAAAGTCGAACTCTCTTATATAGTCTGCTTGGCTCCTCCCAGGATCTTCCCAATGGTTAAGCAGCACCTAAGCTCCCCCAAGGACATGCAAAAAGGGGAGCAGGAAGGAGGGAAATTGCAGTCAAGCCACGGGCTAAATGTATCAGGCCATGATTGCCCTTCCTGTTACACCTTTGAGAAACAAGCTGTGCTGTGGAGTTAACCCTTGGGAGACTCGGCTGTGCAGTTGAGCCTTCCTTGTCTGAAATGCTTGGGGCCGGGAAGTGCTGCAGCTTTTGAAATAAGTGGTTAAGATTTCAGCAGCTGAGCCGCCTCAGGAATCTGAAATCCCAAATGTTTTGGAATCAAACACTTCTGGTCCCAAGCATCTTTCCATGTGTTCAACAGATTCACATTTGGACTTGGGTAGTTTTTTTTTTTTTTTTCCTAGTGTGGATGCTCAACCTGGATTACAATGGAAATTACACTGCA